CAATAATTAGATTTATCGAACATTCATTGCATCAAAGGTGAGCTCCACCAACAACAGTGCCCGAGGCCTCGGGTCGGGGATTCATATTTCAGGACGGCCACTCTTTGGGGGGTTCACGTTGCCAGAGGGGGTGTTGCAATATTGTTCAATATATGTTCAATATGAAATGAATTGAATCTCTATTATATAATGGTATCGGTCTTTTTTCAAATTAACGCCTGTAATTTTTCAATTTTTTTTTTTTTCATTGCTCGGATAATATTTTGATATCATTTATGTATGTTTGACAATTATATCACCCTAAGTATTTACTGCTTGCTTACCAGATGCATCAGGTGAAAGGTTCATCTTTGGATCAGAGAGAGAGAGAGAGAGAGAGACAGAGAGGGAGAGAGAGAGGGAGACAGAGAGAGAGAGAGAGAGAGAGAGAGAGAGAGAGAGAGAGAGAGAGAGAGAGAGAGAGAGAGAGAGAGAGAGAGAGAGAGAGAGAGAGAGAGAGAGGGAGGGAGAGAGATACAGCACAAACGCCTTGTCACTATACCATCAGAGGAAGTGCCACTTACTCAATGCACAATTGTTTACCTACTATAATGAGGCCTGGGTTTTTTCTTTGGGGGGGGTGGAACCTTAAAATATTTTCTCAAATATGATTAAGACAGCCTCGTAAAATGCCAAACTTTTCATGATTCCCGAACGTTTTATTGTGTAAGAACTTCAGCTTTAATCATTATACATGAAAACATTCGTGGCAAATTGATGAATTTGGTTAAGATGTTTTGGTAGTTGTGGTGATGGTGAGGTTAAGACACAAACAACAGTATAATTATCATTATCCACATCATTAACACACCACCACCACTATCATCACCACCACACCATCAGTACTATCATCATCACACCATCACCATCACTACCATCACACCATCACCACCACCACCATCACCACCACCACCACCACCATCACCACCACCACCATCACCACCATCACTATCATCACCACCACACCACACCACCACCACCACCATCACAACCACCACCACACCACCACCACCACCATCACTACCATCACCACCACCACCACCACCATCACACCACCACCACCACCACCACCACCATCACTACCATCACCACCACCACCACACCACCACCACCACCATCACACCACCACCACCACCACCACCACCATCACTACCATCACCACCACCACCACACCACCACCACCACACCACCACCACCACCACCATCACCACCACTCCACCACCACACAACCTACGAATTAACCACAACCACAATATCACTGTTGATGCCCAACATCAAAATATTTAACGTAATGATATATGTTTCATTATGTTAACTTCTGAAATCTTTAACAAATGAAAGAAACCACTTTAAAACCTGTAAGGTCGTCGAGTTTATGTTTTCCCCCAAAGGGTCATTGTTTTCACTATGTCAATAATAAGACCACACTGGTCCATAAAAGCTTGTAGTATATTGCTACTGGCAGCCATGGTACAGATGTCTGCTGTCTGAAAGTCCACAGCTTAGACCAACTTGAGTGAGAATATCAGTTACAAGTGAATACGTCAACACATTAAATGTGTATGGCTCAATACTCTACCCTGAGGTAAGCCTGTTTCAAATTAATTGTAAGTATTCCTACTATAAATTACTAGGGGAAGCTCTAATGGTCAAGAGTCCCTTGAGTAAGTAAATTGACTTCCTCTAACGTCAAGGGGAAAAATTGTTTTAAGCTGATTTCATTATTAGTTGGATAATAAGCAGCTTAAAGGTCACTAAAGGGTTTGTTCTAGCTTGATAAGAACGTTTGAGTACTACTTCCAAGGCGAAAGTTAACTTAGGATCGAGTTGATTAACCTGCCAAGAGCAGGAGACCCAAGTACCTTACATATACACTTCTCTGACAAGAGTTAATTTGGGGAGAAAATTATTCCATCTCGTCTTCTTGTTTTGTGTCTAGTGACATTAAGATGGAGGAGAAGTTGTTACCCATGCAGCAGGTCACCCCCTCTCCACAGCGCCGAAATTATCCAATGGAAAGGCAAACGCCAATACGCTTGGTTCCAGCGCCGTCGCAGCAGCTGCCAGAACGTGGTTGAAGCCAAATTCTCTTGACCAAGTCAAGAGAGTAGATCACTGCTAATCTACTATTCTAATATTAATAATATAATCTAATCTACTATTCCACGAGGCTGCTGGAGCCCGCCTGACACAACAGGAAGCCGAGTAGAACCTTTGGACCGCGTGCTACCCAAAGACAGTCACAGAGAATACAATATTTATGTTACTGAAGAGATCTCGATAAGTCTTCCAGTATATGCTTTCCTTTCATGATGAAATTTGGTGGTACCTATTATAGGTATAGGTTAAGTAATAATTGTAATTACGAAGCAATAAGATGCTTATCTTAACATACTAAGAAGGTTAGGTAAGGTCGGTGTTTTCTATGAAGCTTTTCAAGGTAAACTAGTATGTTTAGTATGTCACATATGCACATATTTAATAAGTCAATATTGACTGTAAGAAAGTGCGAGAACGGGTTGACCTCTATTAGGCTATTATTTTCATTATAATTCTGTCCAGATAGTCTCAAAAGTTACCTTAAATTATTATTCTCAAAAAATACAATGCTCTGTTGCAATATGTAATTATCTTGAGATAACATTACAAAGTTTATCATTATTACACGACAAGATTCTCAACATAATTTCGAAGATTAATATAAAAAAAAATCGTAAACAGGCTTAAAAATGCATCGTTATCACCGGATCACAGAGAGAAAAAATTATTTTTTTAGGAGACCTTCATTAGTTAAGCGTCTTAACTATGATCTTGGACTTAACGAGGCCGTCACGTGAGCCGGGAGAGGCCAGAGGATTATGTGCCTTATACCATGACTCATCACACTCCTTCATATATATACTTTCCATTGAAAAAATAATAAAGTTGAAGTGGAACTGTAAAATATTATGTTATGAAGAGTCATGACAGTCTTGTGCTCACTGGGGTGTCATAGCCATGACAGTCTTGTGGGGTGTCATAGCCATGACAGTCTTGTGGGGTGTCATAGCCATGACAGTCTTGTGGGGTGTCATAGCCATGACAGTCTTGTGGGGTGTCATAGCCATGACAGTCTTGTGCTCACTGGGGTGTCATAGCCATGACAGTCTTGTGGGGTGTCATAGCCATGACAGTCTTGTGGGGTGTCATAGCCATGACAGTCTTGTGGGGTGTCATAGCCATGACAGTCTTGTGGGGTGTCATAGCCATGACAGTCTTGTGGGGGTCATAGCCATGACAGTCTTGTGCGGTGTCATAGCCATGACAGTCTTGTGGGTTGTCATAGCCATGACAGTCTTGTGGGGTGTCATAGCCATTACAGTCTTGTGCTCACTGGGGTGTCATAGCCTCTAGAATATCATCACGGAAGGGCAGTTATCATCAAGTGATCAACAAGGGAGAGGAACTAGCATCATGGGAGACAGGAGAGATGAAGTACACATGCTGCAATTTGACCGGATACCCCCGAAGGTATACCCAACACCACTATACACCGTGTATGAATACCACGTGTATGTATACTGCGTTTATGTATACCGCCTGCATGTGGGAGGAGGACTCTTAGCCAGGCGCTATTATTTTCTCTTTACTTCGCAAGTCCGGCACTCTGAGAGCTGGGCTGAGAGTGTCAAGAGCTCAAACTTTATATTGCGCTTTTTAAGTTCAGGATTAGTGCTCTTAGTTGCTGTTGGAAGTATAGAGAGCTCACCTCCACATATGTGGCACATGTTGGGTCCTCGTGGACGGGCGGACAGCGATCACAAGTCGCAGTTCATGGACCCTGGTTTTTTTCCCGGCCGAGGCAGAAGCAGCTGGGCAGTTTTTTTTTTCACCTTTTGACTCGGTTCACTTAGCAGTAAATGGGTACTTAGAACATGTGCTTGCGCGCGCGTGTTTCTCTGTGTGTGTGCGTGTGTGTGTGTGCGTGCGTGTGTGTGTGTGTGTGTGTGTGTGTGTGTGTGTGTGTGTGTATTCAGTACATTAGATACTTAGAAAGGCGGGGTCTAAAAGCTAACAACTAGCTTAACTTACAAATAATACACACACACACACACCCAAACACCCACCTACCCACACACAAACACCCACACACAAACACCCCCCCACACACCCTCTCTCTCTAGTTCCGCGTCACATCACCCTTCCCAGTCCTCTTATCAGCGCCTACACCCCTTCCAGTTCACTGTCCCAGCACGCCGCTGGGACCCACACCCCCCTTCCATCACCGTAGTGAACCTATAACAGCCTAACTCTCTCTCTCAGCCTCCACCATCACGCCAACTGCCCTCCCCCTGCCTTCTCTTACCCTCGCCTGCCTTTCCCCTTGCCCTCATATAGCTCCCCTTGTCCTTCCCCTTCGTTTTCCCTCCCTCAATCCGACCTGCCCTAATCTCCCCTACCCATTACCTACTCCCCCACCCATCTCGCATTCTCCCTATCCCATCTCCACTATATCTCACAGTGTCGCCCGCTTAGTCCAATTTTGTACACCTTTTACACCCTGGAGCTCTTCCTGGTACACTTTTACACCCTGGAGCTCTTCCTGGTACACTTTTACACCCTGGAGCTCTTCCTGGTACACTTTTACACCCTGGAGCTCTTCCTGGTACACTCTTGGCCCCCTCACTTCCTCTTACACCCTGCTAATCTTCCTCATACCCCCCTAGCAGTCTTCCAAGTACCCCCTGGATTACTCCCTCTTACACCCTAGGGTCTCCTTCGTTCACCCTGGCACTCAGGGTGCCCGTAAGGACAGACACATATACCACAGAGTCACATATAGACAAGTGTGTAGTGTGGAGTTTCAGATATATTTAACTGGACGAGGACATTCTCTGTTACTCTCACTCACAAGGATGTCTGTCTACATTTAATGGTCGGGACTCGGGTGGAACTTCCTATTGTCACTATTCCTGGCTGCTTCATGTCTGGTAACTGTGCTTCTGGTTCAGTGTTGCTGTGGCTCGACTGGTCCAGTGTGTTGCTATCTGCGTCACCTTTGGTCCAGTGCCAGCCATCTGCCTCTCTGGTCCAGTGCCTGTTATCTGCCTCTCTGGTCCAGTGCCTGTTATCTGCCTCTCTGGTCCAGTGCCAGCCATCTGCCTCTCTGGTCCAGTGCCAGCCATCTGCCTCTCTGGTCCAGTGCCAGCCATCTGCCTCTCTGGTCCAGTGCCAGCCATCTGCCTCTCCTCTGGTCCAGTGCCTGCCATCTGCCTCTCTGGTCCAGTGCCTGTTATCTGCCTCTCTGGTCCAGTGCCAGCCATCTGCCTCTCTGGTCCAGTGCCTGCCATCTGCCTCTCCTCTGGTCCAGTGCCTGCCATCTGCCTCTCCTCTGGTCCAGTGCCTGCCATCTGCCTCTCCTCTGGTCCAGTGCCAGCCATCTGCCTCTCTGGTCCAGTGCCAGCCATCTGCCTCTCTGGTCCAGTGCCAGCCATCTGCCTCTCTGGTCCAGTGCCAGCCATCTGCCTCTCTGGTCCAGTGCCAGCCATCTGCCTCTCTGGTCCAGTGCCAGCCATCTGCCTCTCTGGTCCAGTGCCAGCCATCTGCCTCTCTGGTCCAGTGCCAGCCATCTGCCTCTCTGGTCCAGTGCCAGCCATCTGCCTCTCTGGTCCAGTGCCAGCCATCTGCCTCTCTGGTCCAGTGCCAGCCATCTGCCTCTCTGGTCCAGTGCCAGCCATCTGCCTCTCTGGTCCAGTGCCAGCCATCTGCCTCTCTGGTCCAGTGCCAGCCATCTGCCTCTCTGGTCCAGTGCCAGCCATCTGCCTCTCTGGTCCAGTGCCAGCCATCTGCCTCTCTGGTCCAGTGCCAGCCATCTGCCTCTCTGGTCCAGTGCCAGCCATCTGCCTCTCTGGTCCAGTGCCAGCCATCTGCCTCTCTGGTCCAGTGCCAGCCATCTGCCTCTCTGGTCCAGTGCCTGCCATCTGCCTCTCTGGTCCAGTGCCAGCCATCTGCCTCTCTGGTCCAGTGCCAGCCATCTGCCCCTCTGGTCCAGTGCCAGCCATCTGCCTCTCTGGTCCAGTGCCAGCCATCTGCCTCTCTGGTCCAGTGCCAGCCATCTGCCTCTCTGGTCCAGTGCCAGCCATCTGCCTCTCTGGTCCAGTGCCAGCCATCTGCCTCTCTGGTCCAGTGCCAGCCATCTGCCTCTGACAGCTACTGCACTTATCACCAGCAGAACAGCAGCCATGGAAGGCCTTTTATCTGGCCATATTAACTTCATAATTTGAAAGTCAATGTCCAAATACCACTCTCGCATTCCTTGATAGGAGAGCAATTCCGATATTGCTTCCATCAACGATATGCTCATTGCCGCCGACCTGAAAACACCTATAACAGAAATAAATGAAATTTTGGTCATTGTCCTGATTGCTTTTGCCAGATTCAGATGCAATATTTCCCTTCGACTAGTGTGTTAAATAACATCCCCCCCCCTCCCCCCTCCCCCCTCCCCCTCTGTTGCATATGTGAAGGCCACCGTCTTTTTTATTTTTGAAATTGAATTCTCGTTTTCTTTATATTTTTCCGAACCTCAGCCACCTTAAAGTCCCGGATGTGTCGTTAGAGTTTCCGAAATCCATCAGAGTTCGTTAGTTTTTTTTTTTGTTAGTTTTTTTTGCTGAAAACAATTCTCTCGAGGCCAGTGGGAAGTCTTGTGTCTTTGTTTAAGTAAGGTGGCTCTTGCGACTTTAAGTAAGGTGACTTTTGTGTCTTTAAGTAAGGTGACTTTTGTGTCTTTGTTTAAGTAAGGTGACTCTTGCGTCTTTGTTTAAGTAAGGCGACTCTAGCGTCTTTAAGTGACCTTTGTGTGGTTCTTTGCTACAATACTTAGTTGTACTTAGTTATGTTGGGTTATATTTGGTTAGGTTATATTTGGTTAGGTTATATTAGGTTATATTAGGTTAAGGCATGTTTCCTGGGTAATATTAAAATAAACTGATGAAGGAGCAAATCTTTACAAAAGATTCTAGAATAAATCATTGGAAGATCCCAGGATAAATCCACCAGAATCCACAACATCCTTCCTCATACCACCCCAGCTTCCCACCAACATACCACCTCAACATACCAACATATCTCATACCAACTCCTACAGTCTTGACGTGAATATTGGTGAACCAACCGGTGTGTGTCTGCGAGTTAGCCCAGTTGGCTTCCCTTCTCTGCACGAGGTGCTGATTGGCGGCTATTCAAGACACCAGCGAGTTCTCCAATCAGCGTTGAGAAGCCTGGAGGCGCGGTCCAGCGTGTGGACCGGTCCAGCTCCTCCACCACGGCTCTTGTGTGGTGAAGGAGAGACTCTTCTCTTAAGGCATATTCGAGTACTCAGCATTAGCTGAGTTGGTGGCATCATCAGTAGCCATCAACCGCAGGAATACTTGAGTCATGAATATGCTTCACGACGCAAGAAAGCACTTTAGGCGTCACCATATGGACTCTAAACACCGATTGAGAACACGTAACATACAAAGAGTGGATTATAGCTGGAACAGCTTGCAAAAAAGATAGAATAAATAGTAAAATACGTATACACACACACACACACACACACACACACACACACACACACACACATACACACACACACACACACACACACACACATACACACACACACAAGATGAAGTGTTCTGCATTAGGAACAAAAAGTCTTCTCAGAAGCCAGATTAGTGATAAAACCCATTTTTACCATTAAAGAACCAACACGATAAATCAAACCAGATTACACAATTTTAATTTCGGTCATTTTTTAATTAGCCTGGCTCTAATATGCCTCGACCAGGAATCCAAAAAAACTTTAATATGATCGCATGTTGTGCTTGAAACGTGAGCTGTATCCTAGTCCAGCTGTATCCTAGTCCAGCTGTATCCCAGTCCAGCTGTATCCCAGTCCAGCTGTATCCCAGTCCAGCTGTATCCCAGTCCAGCTGTATCCTAGTCCAGCTGTATCCTAGTCCAGCTGTATCCCAGTCCAGCTGTATCCCAGTCCAGCTGTATCCCAGTCCAGCTGTATCCCAGTCCAGCTGTATCCCAGTCCAGCTGTATCCCAGATCAGCTGTACCCCATTACTTGTGCATAGCAGTAGTCAAGCACACATTCGTATGTTAACATTCAGGAATGTATTCGGTGGTTCGTGGCTGTTTAGTCTTATTTAATGATAAGGTGACTATCTTGGCGTCTGCTTGGCCCCCCCCCCCCGTCTCTCTCTGTATATATTACATATGTGTTCTGTATATATTATCAGAACACTGTATACAGCACCTTGAGAAAGGTTCTTGGTTACTTCTGAAAATTTGGTTATTAATACACTGACATATATATATTACCTCTTTCCTTCTCCTTCAAGGTCTACGGTAGTGTAGTGTCTTGAAAAAATCTTGTTATTTTCACTTACATCCGTATTCGTCTGAGAAATGGTTGGGTGCGTGCAATACAAATTCTGAACAATGGCTGGTTGTAAATCAGGTAAATGCACATATTATAAATTCTATTTCTAAGTAAAAGTAATTCCACCTGCCCAGCTGGTAGGAACACCTGGATACCTTCGTCTTGTGGGACTTTGAGCGGGTTATCTTGAAGTTATCTAGAGGTGCTTCCGGGGCTTAGCGTCCCCCGCGGCCGGGTCGTCGACCAGGCCTCCTGGTAGCTGGACTGATCAACCAGGCTGTTGGACGAGGCTGCTCGCAGCCTGACGTATGAGTCACAGCCTGGTTGATCAGGTTTGGGGACATGATGCCTGACAGGCTCAAGACACAAGCAGAACTTCCACCCCTCAAAGTTCCCCCATCAACGTCAAAAACTTTCAAAAACTTTCAAAAAGTCAAAAATAATCCCCCGAAATATATCCTCACATTGGTAAAGCAGCGAATTCAGAATTCTTCAACGAAGCCGCATTAAAATGTTACCGAGTTTAATATTCACTCTTGACGGCTGCTCATTAAGGAATCGCTCATTTCCCTTGCAGCTGGCTGTTAAGCACATATTAAAACCTGGACTCAAAGCTAAGTGTATTTTGAACACACACACAAGTCCATTGATAATAGATACGTCTTCATTTTCTATAATTAAACGAGTTAGATCAACACATACACAATGAGAATTGGTTATATGACGAACGAGGAAAATGTCTGTGGTGAGTTTGTGGAGTTGATGGTGGTAGAGGTGGTGTTGGTGGTGGTGGTAGATGTGGTGTTGGTGGTGGTGGTTGAGGTGGTGTTGGTGGTGGTGGTAGATGTGGTGTTGGTGGTGGTGGTAGATGTGGTGTTGGTGGTGGTGGTAGAGGTGGTGGTGGTGGTGGTGGTAGATGGGGTGTTGGTAGAGGTGGTGGTGGTGGTGGTGGTAGATGTGGTGTTGGTGGTGGTGGTAGATGTGGTGTTGGTGGTGGTGGTAGAGGTGGTGGTGGTGGTGGTGGTAGATGTGGTGTTGGTGGTGGTGGTAGATGTGGTGTTGGTGGTGGTGGTAGATGTGGTGTTGGCGGTGGTGGTAGAGGTGGAGTTGGCGGTGCTGGTACCGGTGGAGTTGGAGGTGCTGGTAGTGGTGTTGGTGATGGTGGTAGATGTGGTGTTGGTGGTGGCCGATGTGGTGATGATGGTGGTGGAAGTAGTCGTGGTGGTTGTACTGACATTCATAGCGATGAATGAAGTATTTAACACTGAAAACTGTATGAGTTACGATAGAGTGTTGGTGGCGGGGTTCAGGAAGTCACAATCAGATCATCAGAGAGACATAAGAGGCCACTCTGAGTGTCTCATCCCATGCCACCATAGATGGTAGGTCCCCCCCCCCCCCATGACATTCCTCCCATACCATGATTTCATAGAATGTGTGTGTGTGGGGGGGAGGAAGAGCCTCGCACACCTCTCGCTCCTAACGACTGAACCATGTGATTAACTGACGAGAATTTACATATATAAATCAAGATATTTACGGGTAAATCCAATTTCATTTTACCAACGATGTTAAGATGCCTGATCAAAGAGCTTGAAAGATGTTTTAGTGGCGTAAGGTATAATGTATATAGTTGGAAACGGAACTGTTGCCTAGATCTACTACTACTAACGGAGGGTGTGTAGTAGGGGTCGAGGGTGAGTCCCTCCCACTCGAACACATCTTGAGGTTATCTTGAGATGATTTCGGGGCTTTTTAGTGTCCCCCGCGGCCCGGTCCTCGACCAGGCCTCCACCCCCAGGAAGCAGCCCGTGACAGCTGACTAACACCCAGGTACCTATTTTACTGCTAGGTAACAGACCATAGGGTGAAACTGCCCATTGTTTCTCGCCGGCGCCTGGGATCGAACCCAGGACCACTGGATCACAAGTACAGCGTGCTGTCCGCTCGGCCGACCGGCTCCCTAAGTATCAGGAGTGTGTCCCTGGAGTAACACATGCTCCAAGCCAACAACAACAGTATGGTTGCTCGTTTACTGTCCCTCTGCGTGATGAACAACTGAAATGCGACAACGACATTCCTGTTTTTGTCGAATCTTAACAAGAAGTGTTCTATCACAAAGGCAGAAGAGAGAGAGCGAAGGCCTTTGTAACGGATTTATCTTTTCGTCTTCGTTAAAATACTTTCTGAACAAGACAGATCAAACAGGAGAAGACTTTGATGGTTGTGACAGAGAAGGGACGCGGCTCGTTCAGCTGTCACTCACAGCTCCTGTCATTTGGGAAGTTTCTTCTGCCAAGCCGTCATTTTTCTCCCCAAATATGATAGTCAGACAACAAAAGTTTGGTGCTTTCATGTAGAAACCTCTCCTGGATATATATATATATATATATATGTCGTACCTAATAGCCAGAACGCACTTCTCAGCCTACTATTCAAGGCCCGATTTGCCTAATAAGCCAAGTTTTCATGAATTAATGTTTTTTCGTCTACCTAACCTACCTAACCTAACCTAACCTAGCTTTTTTGGCTACCTAACCTAACCTACCTATAAATATAGGTTAGGTTAGGTTAGGTAGGGTGGGTTAGGTTCGGTCATATATCTACGTTAATTTTAACTCCAATAAAAAAAAATTGACCTCATACATAGAGAAAAGGGTTGCTTTATCATTTCATAAGAAAAAAATTATAGTAAATATATTAATTCAGGAAAACTTGGCTTATTAGGCAAATCGGGCCTTGAATAGTAGGCTGA